TACTTTTTGACTGTATTTGTCTTTTTTCTACTTTTCGTCATATTTATTTTTGTGAAATGTATCTTATGATGTAAGATGAAAATCATTGAAACTCACAGGAACATTTATTGTTAAATTATGATTTTTAAGGTGTAATTTTTCAAGGATTAAAAATTTGAACAAATTAAAATTAACCAAAACGATCTTGCGCGTCTGAAAAAGAAAGAAAAGACCTGAGTCTGGCATAAAAATTCGAAAAAATTTTTAAATTATAAAATATGACATGAAACATTACCATTGGTCATTCTACAACAGAAAGATTAAACTTAAGAATAAGGTTTTTTATTTCTAATTATTGGAATTTTCTTATTCCATTAAAGTTTTTCACTTTGAATTTGTTAATCCAATATTATCATAATTTGGCATTACCTTCAAACCCGTGCCATCGTATCCTCGAGTGAAATCTGTACCGTCGTGCCTTCTAATGAAATCCGTGCCATCGTACTCTCTAGTGAAATCCATGCCGTCGTATTCTCGAATAAAACCTGAGCTATTCGAGTTAAGCACCATAAGGCAACTCTTAGCACCAGCATTCATTTCTGCACAGTCGATACACAGACTGCCCCATGAAAATTCCTATCCAGAATGTCTCGAAGTGAATTTTATCCGGAATATCTCGAACAGAGAGAACCGAGATAATTTCAGCAAAAAAATATACAAAAATTTTTCTAATACGATTCATCACCTCTAATAAATATAAATGAAAGTTTACAGTGTTTCATATAAGCTTAGCAAATTTTTATGTTAAAAAATTAATTCACATCTTTATCTAAACGCTTCCGCTCTTTTAAATATTCTCATCATGACCAGTCTTATATTCGGCTAATTATGTCTAGCTATTTTTGTATTCAACCGTACTGTAACATTACGTGTCTTTGTAAATAATCATTTACAAAAAGTTAAATTCAGCCAAATGAGCTTTTTTTTCATAATCCGCTAATTATTAGACTGTTGTTAATTTCGATTGCTCGTTTTTCATCATCATTTCGCATTAACTATTATTCTCATTGTTACTTATTTACTTGCAAATTGTTGCTTATTTGCTTATCACTATTCTCTTCTGATTGTTATTTACTTACTTATCACTGTTCTATAGTGTTCAAATAATAAAATTTGATTATTTTGTTGTAGATATTGCTGCTCGATGTTCGAGAAAACAAAGATCACTGTGAGTGAATGGAAATGAAAGTTGAAGAAAGGATAGGGAATGATAGTGTTGAAGAGATATGTGTTGAAGAGGGGGATCGATGAAACAGATGTAAAATAGTAATGAGCGTAATTGTGGCAAAGAATGAAAGAAATTAGCGATGCCGAGGAATACATGTCGTCGGGTAGTAGTAAGGGAAGAGGAGTTCAAGGAAGATGGTCGAGATCGTGTGAATTCTCCTTCAAGTTTATGATTTACTTTTTGCCTTTTAAACTTTTTCATTCAGTTTCAAACTTTTTGCTTGAAGTTACGATCTTGATTGAATATTTGAGATTCTTCTCAAAATTTAAAGTACTCAGACCTTTGTTGTTGATTTTTTTAGGTTTCAAAATTCTTTATTTTTTAAAATTATTTTTATTGCTGTGTTCGTAATGTTCTTATCACTTCTATGTCTTTCTAGAGTTTTATCAAATAATTTGCAGATTATAGAGATTGAATGCGTCGGGACAAAAAAAATTCGATTGCTGACTCATCGTTGACCCGTGAAGAAAATTCAGATGATATTGAACAGTTTCGAGAACGTATGCTATCAGTCCTAAATAAATACCCATCTTACAACACGACATTTACATTAGAACGATGGCTTCGTTCATACAATAATGATATAGGTTACTATTTGCTAATTAAATAGAATTGTTCTGTAATCTTCACATGATTTGCTCTTCTGATTCTATGATAACTAAAAATTGTAATTTTGAGGATTTGTACATAATTCGCTGCAAATGAAAAAATTGATAGGTTCCTTGCAGTTAGTAGATAAGTAGAAATTTAAACTATCTCCATTTTTTATTTTTTAGAATTTAATCATAAGTGCTTCCAGAAGAAGCAGCTAAACGAATGACACGAGCTTTACAAAATATCCATATACTTAATGCATGCATGGATTATGATAATGCCGAATCGTTGAATGATTTTTTGCATACACTAAATCGAGCTGCTGAGTATTTTCCAGGTTAATATTGGTTTAGAAGAGATAAGATATGAACAGAAATTAGTTTGCTTTAATTTTAATGAGAACTGTCGAAAATTTAGAAATGTTTCAGAAACGTCTTTAATTTTTTGTATTAATAAAAATATACTGAGTTTTACATTGATATACATTATTCTCAAAGAGTATTTATTAATTGCTGTATTGTATAGAATTTTTTCTACTAGTTCTGCTAGTGATTTAAGCGACATTTTAAAATTTTATAGGTTGCTTTGTTACACCTAATTTGTGAGGTAGAAATGTCAGGAGTCCATTTTTAGGTGGCATTATGGGTCCTGACAAACATGGAAATATTATTCTCGTACAACCGATGGGTCGTGCTCGACCGAAAACAATGATGCGTTTGGGACGCGTATCTGATCTTTATAGGGCAGCAATTACGGAAGCTGAAGCTTGCATGTATTTTTTAAGGTATTTCTATTTTCATTGTTCATTTAATATTGTCAAAACATCTTTCAAAAAAAAAAATGAAAGGAATAAAATTAATGAAAGATAAAGAGTAGCCCATATTTAGTAGCTTAGATATGATAAACTTTCCCTTTTAGTAGTATGGAATAATCTTATTTATTTTTATTAGTAATGTAGTAGAGTTTATTCCAGACTTTAACTTCATTCTAAAATCAACTTTTCCTTTTTATAGAAAAGAAGAAGCTGTTAGAGGATGCCAGCTTAGTATTATTTTTATTTCGGATCTTGCTGAATTATCTTTGGAAACAATTTACATGCCTGCTATGAAAGCATACATGGATGTTTTAAAAATATTACAGGTTTTTTTCGTGTTTAATCAGATCTTGCAATTTTTTCTGTTAATTGATAAATAAGGTTGTAAAAAAAATGTCCTTGTATATCGATAATTAATTAAATTGTTTTTCTGCTGACAGAAACTGAGAAAAGAATTACAGAAGCATTATCGGTACTAATTACTATTGGTTAGACCTGAGTAGAGTTTATAAAGTTTGAGATCCTATTTTATTTTTAAGGTTATCTTGAAAAATACACTTTTGCTTATCAGAATCCATGCGCACTCTGTTAAAAATAGTTATCCTTAATTCTTCTTTATTTATCTTATACGCTTTGTATCAGTTTGAGCATTTTAGATTTATGTTATGAGCAGAAAACACTTTATCATTCCAGCATTTATTTCCGAATTCGATCAGAAAGATATACGTGATCAATTCTCCATCCATGATTAATGTTCTTTTCAATATGGTAAAACGAGTACTTTCCAAAGTAAGATGAATTAAAATGAAACAAAAATTTTGAAAACGTCTCAATATGAAAAAAAACTGATGAAAGCAAGCACTATATTTAAGCTTGAATAATCAAAAGACGAATTAAATCAAATAGTATTACTTTGCTGTTACACAGCACTTAAATCTCTCTTTTGTAGTCATTATTATCTTTTCACTACCTGGCATTTTAGGGTTAAAATAATTATGGTTGCAAAGCTTTTGTAGATTATTTTATTTTTTTTTCTGCACAACTCTTATTTTTTAAAAAGTTCATGAATTTTAGGTCTTTCTACCAATTAGAGATTTAAAGAAAAAAAAAACTTTTTTGAGAGATTGATTGAAAATGTCGAATTTCTTGGCAGTGATTGGAAGCAACAGCTGAGAGATGAGCTCGGTGAAGAAAATATTTTTAAATATTGGGGTGGCACAAAGGAAGCTCCAAAAGAATCGGGCACAATACGCATGGGTGGTGAAGTACCTGATAGTTTGAGGTGATTTTATTTCTCGTTTTATTTTTGGTAAATGGTAAGTTTTTTTAGTTATGAGTTTTGGCTCTGTTTTCATATGCAAAGTCAAAGTGCTCTAAGCAGATAATGTATATTCTATGGCTTCTTCAAAGGTGAGAATAAGTTTTAAAACGATATCATATTTGTGAAAAAAAATTTTTTTTTTTTTTGAAACTTGTTACTATTTGGACAATGTTTTTAGTGAATTACTTTGATGTTAGTGTCGTGAAATCCTTCTAGGACGTACAAGCGCGATCGAATTCTCGAATGTCTTCAGTGATGAAGATTTGGTTATTTTCTAAATTTTTACTTGCAGGGAGGAGATTTTAAAAACGCTGAAATTCATTCCTGATGATCAATTAATAAAAACAACGATTCTAGCCGGCGGATTGTTGAAAATTCCAGTTCATGTGCTGCAGTCAAATTCATTACTACAGTGGTATTTTACTGTGAGTGATGGAGACATTGATTTCAAAATTACATATGGTGAAGAAGAGGAAGAGGTATGGCTTGCTGTAAATATTGATGAAATTTATTGCTTCTTCTTTTTGAAAATTCATTTCCAGTGAAATTTATTTTTGTATTCAAAATTCGTAATTAACGAGATAGAGATGTTTGTCGTTAATTATAAACCTTGAATGCAAATTACAGATGTAGAGAATTTCTATTTCGTTAGTGTTGTGCTTCAATCTGTGTTAAATCATCATTCATCAGTGGAAAAGAAAAATGTTTTACACTGGAACTGATGTAAAAATTGATTAAGAATTTTTGCTAATTTCCCAGATTTGGCCGCATTTCCGTCTATCAACCGAATTTGTCCCGGAATATGGCGAATTGATATGCCATCAGAAAGGGACTTATATTCTTCACTTCTATAGTCCAGCAAAACTATTTAATAAAATAGTTGCGTATAATATTTCGGTGAAGGATCCGTAGAATCTATTGAAGAAAACCTGTTATTAGTAGTTCAAAGCTCCCATTATGCTTATTCAGTTAGTCTTTGCATTTCATCAATTGTGATTATATCAAAAGCTAGGAAAAAGTAGATTCTGGAAACTGATAATGCAATATTCTCTATGCTGCATACTAAGATATTAAGAAATTCTGTTTTACGGGTAATTAAAATTGTTACTTGTTCTCGAGTTATCTTTATAATTTGTACTCAAATTTCATTACTCATATGTATATTTTATGTTAGGCCATATTTGTGTGTTACTTTACAATTCATATATTATCTTGTTGTATTGTTTCGATGTTTTGAGTTTTAATTATTGCTGTTTCATTCCGATATTATACTCAGGTAAATATCTCACCTTATAATGGACTGGGAAGAGCAGCGATGAGACAAATCGAGGTACTTTTAATTTTACCTCTATAAGTTTTAGACTAGTGTGTTTTCAGCATTGAGATCGATCCAGAGTGGACAAATGCAACTGAATTATTCTGTAATTGAAAGCAAGAATTTGTTTTCATTAAGTTTTGGTTGGTGTTGTTATCGATGTGAAAGTATAGCTATAACTCCAATACCGAGCAATTTTGTTCGGAACAAATGAACGATGTACCAAACTTCGTGTTATTTTATGTTTCATAGAATATGAAGTCGTTTTTAAAGCTTGCAACTTTATGTATTCATGATAAGTAACGGTGGAACAGAAATTTTGAATATTCTCAAGCAGCTTTCGAACTTTTTTCTTTTTCATTCTACCATACAGATGTGAGACGAGACTTAGCACCTACTTATTAAGTGAAGTTAGTTATAACTTAAAGATTGAGAAGCAACACAGTTGATGAATATGAAATCAAGGATCTGCTGTAGCATTTTTCGGAGAACTGATGGATTTTTATAACCTCCTACATTTTTATAGAATTTAAAGGACAAATAAGATTTTCTACAACATCACAAAAGCGGATAAGTTAACTTGTACTTAATTCCTGCTGTTTTTGTTATGCTAACTCGACTACTAGGTACCGTATTGATCGCTTTGGAGTTCCTGCTGAATATACTACAGTTCAAATTTCCTCGATAGTTT